TCGCTGCACCCCACCTTCCCCCCCCCCCCCCCCCCCCCCCCCCCCCCCACCTCTGGCAGGTCCCTCGCCCCGCAACGTTGGGTGGTGGGAAGGAAGAAAAAGAAGAAAAGAGCAATAAAAGTTACCAAGTCCAAGGTCGCTGCAGCCCCGTAGGAGCGTTTACAGCCCTTGGCCGGTCGCTGCGTTAACGTTTTGTCATCTTTATGGTTTTATTTCCCTCGCAGAGGTGCTGGGTTTCGGGCAGGATCTGCCTTTTGAGCCCTGTTTCTCTGTGGAGCGGCGCTGGGCACCGGGGGCTGCGAGGACAGACCCTCAGTCTGCCTTTGGTGGCCCCTCATAAAAGATTCATGGGAGCTCTTCCTGATAAACTCTTGCTTGTGCAAGGATTTGATCACTACCAAAGGGATAAAAATGGGATTTATTGGCTGTTTCTCACCCATTCACTCCCCCTTTACCAGCCGTTTCTCTCCTGACACTCCTGTCCTGGAGATGGTTGAAACCAGTAACTCCTCAGGTCTGAGCAGTTGTTGGATGCACCTGAGAGCAGCTCTGGCAGTAGCCGTAGGAAGAGAGGTGGGCTAAGCTTCCTCATATTGAGAAAGGAGAAAAAGAAGCTCTTTCAGGCAATTACGTTGTCTCCTCGAGATTAAATCTGTGGATACTGAGGTCTGCATCAGCCTCTGAGTGAGGGGAATCTTTGCTCCACACAGGGATCCCCGTCTGCTGCAGGGCTGGGGCTCAGATCCCGGCGGTGTGAGAGATAATAATAACAGCCAGCATATTTGATACTATTTTTTCTTTTCTATTTTGGATTTCTATTTGGGTGAGGAGGGCATTTGTACATAAATACAAAGAAAAACCATGTTGAGCTTTGAACATGAGGAAATGTCAGATTTAAATAAATTTTGCTGTGCCCCTCAAAGCTTAAATTTGCTTCTCATTTGTGTGCACCATGACGCTCTAATTGTATTACAAAGGGTTTACAAACAGAGTCATTGTAATTAACAGGAAACTTGCATGTAACAGTTGGTTCTTGGGGTTGGTTTTTTCCTTTGGTTGATGTGTACCAGGTATCTAAATGAGGTATTGGAAACGGATTGTCAGATAACTTAAAAATGAATGTAGCTTGTTGGTTGTCTTTAGGAATCAAATTAATTAATTGAGAGGTGCTTGCAATGGTGCATATAGATAATTTTGCATGCTGGTCCTGTCTAAGCATGCTGTCAGACATCCCTGCTGTATCTAACACATCTTCAGTGTCCCTTTAACTCCAGTGCCTGGGTCACTGGAACCCAAACCAGGCCTTTCCCTGTGACACCGATTCAGACACCGGTTTCTTTTGCACGAGTAACATGTGTGTTACTTTGGCTGCAGTTTTTAATTTAACTTTTAATTTGCAGTTCTAATACAGTTCACTTTTCTAACCTTGGTGCTGTCATCCCCTGACTTTAGGTTTGTCTGTGCTGGGACGTTTGGGAAAGGGAACCTGAAGGTACCAAAAGTGTGGCTTTTCAGGAAAAGTGCTAAACTCTGCTGAGCCCTGATGGATGTTGCCGGGAGGGCGGTGGCCCTGGCCTGCTGACCCAGCCTGGCTCCTGGGGTTGCCACAAGTCTCAAGCACCACTTGCTTCTCTTATTTTTACTGCTTCAGAGACGCTAATTAACTCCCAATGCTGATACATTTTAAATGATGTCAGACCCAAATTACACCCGAGGCCGCGACCTGTTAAAGGGTTGATTGTGTCACGGTGTGTTTTGTCACCTTGCGTGGATGGCAGGAGCTGCCTTTGTGCTGTCAGGGGCTGAGCAGAATGGAGAAATTGTTGCTTCTCCATCATTAACTTCAAGTGACGGGTTGGTTGGGTTTACACTTGGACGGGCTCCACCCTATTCCATAAATCCAGCTTTCTGCCAGAGCTATTTCTGTTCGGGGTCACTGGCTGACCCAAGACGGGTTGTGCTGGATTTAGTTCCCAAGTGAGCCCAGATGTGGGTGGAATTGAAATCATACCAGTTTCGGTGCATGCAAGGATATTTCCCCAAGGATGTCTCTAGTGGGAAAAAGAGAAGTGGTGAAGTTGCACTTTTCATTACTGTAATATTTGAATTTAGTGGTGTTGACACGGGCTGGATTAGTGGGGCTGATTTGCCTTTCGAGGTGAGTACCTGCCTGGGTGGATGGATGAAGGCAATGTGAATTTATTACCTCATTTCCCATGCCCTGTTGTTTCTAGGTCCGTGTAGTGATTCAGCAAAGATATCATCGTGTTTTTTCATGGCTATGTCTTACAACTGCTTAATAAACTGGCCATCTCATGTGGACACTCAAGCAGTCGCAGCATGTTACGCATTAATTGTAAATAAAAGTCATCCGGTCCTTGAATTCCTTCGTTCTGAGTGGGCTACCAGTGCCTGGTTGTGATTCTTAGTCACCAGAATAATTAAAAAAAAAAAAAAGAAAAGCAGGACTATTGGAACAGTTGGCGTGGGCTCAGTAGTTAGCTTTGTTTTGGAGCAAACCTCCCAAGCTTTAACAGATAGTGGTTCCTGAAGTGGTTGTAAGTATGAGTTATTATTTGAGCCATTTGCACTTGAGCAGATAGTCTGGTGTTCCCTTTAATCAGCTCCCCGTTAACCTTTGCGGGCAGGTTGATTACTGCAGGAGTAGTTGGCATTTCAATTCCTATCGCAGGATGTAAGATTAATTGAAAGACTCCTTAAAACAGGGAAACTTTTTAATGTCAAACAGCTCTCGGGTCCCCTCGCTGGCAATCAAGGGCTAGTATTTAGCTGCTCTCCGACTGTAATCTGAGGGAGAGTGAACGTCCTGCTCTGGAGTTGTTAAAACATTTCCATTGCAGTGGGTGGTTTTGATTTAAGGTGAGTGTGAGTGTCCCACAGCAGGTGGAGTGGGAGGGTGCTGGTGGAAGGGAGCAGGGCTCTCACAGGAGTTGCTGCCCTTTTGCAGAAATTGTGGCACAGAGGAAACCCGAGGTGTGAACCTTTGTGTAAGAGAAACACAGCCCCGTGCATCACCTCAGTTTTCATCACGCCCTAATGACAAGTTCAAATGAAAGTTATCATTTTTTATTTGCTTCCTTGTAAGGAGGAGGGCAAGAAGGTTATATTTCACAGGTATGAGGTATTGTTTAATACATAATTTCTTGCAGGATAATGCAAAGACCATTCATTTATCTTGATAAACTTGCATTGATCTTGATAAACAAATAAAAAAGAGCTTTAAAAATGGTATTTACGGCACGCAAAGCGTTAGCTTGATTTCTTGACTTATCTGTTCTGCAGTCTTAGTGATAACTTCAGGAATAACTTCAGACTAGCTTCTCCTTGCAAGGTCTGGAACACTTTGCAGGGGAGGAAGACGTGATCCGTGCCGTGCTGGGGGTGAGATGGTGTGGGGGCCCGACTGTGGATAAACCCAATGTGTCTTAATCACTGTAAGTGGAAAGCAGAGAATTACAAATCACAGCACAGAGTAGCATTCAGGGTGGTCCCGTATGAGCTGTGTGCTCAAGGTCTTTCTGTTCTCACATCTAATTCATGAGCAGGTGCTACTTGACTCATCTTTTCCTGATTTCTAGCGAGTTGCTCATTTTTCGTAAGTGTTGTGCAAATCCCCCCCTGGGAGCACAACAGATCTTTGTCACAGTCCTTAAAGAATTCAAGGATGCATGAAAGGAAGACTGTGAAAACACATGGTAAGGTGTAATGATTGTAAAATGGATTTGGGGTTGTTTTCCTCTTTTTCTTTAACTAGTTCCAGCAGGAAACCTGATGTGGAAGGCTGTACTTGCTGCTCAGAGAGCTCCTGGTCATCCCAGCCCACCTGAGCCTGAGGAAGTGGTGCACAGAGCTCCAGTTTAATATAGTCCTTGCAGTTGTCTCCCTGCACACATTGTGATTCCTGAGCTCTTAAAGCAACACTTAATAAAAGCACAGTTCTGCATTTAGTTAAAATATGCAAAAGTGTCTTTATACTGTTTCTCAACTCTTATAGTGCAAACGCCAGCATTTTCAAAGCTAGCCTAAGTTAAAGCAATTCTCTTATAGTGCAAACGCCAGCGTTTTCAAAGCTAGCCTAAGTTAAAGCAATTCGTATTTATTGCAGCTACTTTTGAAAGATAATATTTGTTATGATTAATAATATTTTTGGTATCAAGAATCTGTAAAGAAAATCTGGTTCTCCTCTGAGAATTTTCTGTGTTTGCTGTGCAGGCCAGGGTGAGGCACGGGCTGTGGTCCTATAAAAAGGTTGTAGCAAACTGAGACAGGGAATTGGGCTTCAAATCTTGAAGGGATTTTCTTAAGACAGTTGTGTGTAGGCTGTATCATTCAGACCTCTCTCTTTCTTCTGGATGATGTAGTGGGTTGGGTCTGTAGTTTAAAATGATCTGGTGTGTGTTTTGGATGAGTGGTGTGAATAGCTGGCAGCCTCTTGGCTTTACAGCACCTTCCTTTTGGATACAAGAAGCTGAAGATGGTGCCAAAAATGTATAGATTTCCCAATTGCCTGGGTGACCTGAAATGAAGCTCTAATGCAGTTGTTAGCAGCCTTTTCAGTGGGGGATACCAAAGGGTTTTCGTG